ATGGCATCACCCCAAGGTACTCGGGTTAAGGATAGTAGTTATGTAGGTTCGTGTTTGAGAGAGTATACGATTATTAGGTACTTGAACCCTTAGGGTTTTTGCTTTCATGGGCTTCCTTTGATGAGTTCCTTCTCATTTTCAGAAACTCCCAAATCGTTTTCCGAAAGACTAAACACTCCAATGGCATCAGAAAGAAGACGCTTGTTTTCGCCTTGGGCAACGTTTCGGGCGCAGGGCTCAGAGGCAGAGCCCCGAAATTCTCAAGCAAGCCAAGCAGGTCTTGGTGCCTCGCCTTCTAGCCCAGAGGGCGTTTAGGGTTTTGGGGTTTTGGGACTGAGGGTGCGGATGCCTGGCTCAAGCCTGTTGAGCAGATTTCTAAAGCGCGAAAAAATCAATTTGAAATACACAAACAAATTGAAATACAGGCAGACAAGCAGATCCCAAACCGCATGCCATAGATTGCCAGAATTCCCAGACACTACAGTAATAGGAGAGGCTTCTTTATCTTGCCTAATTGCGAAGATGCCCAAACCCCATAACCCGACACCCTTCATGAGCCCTCTTTATCCAAACTCCGACGGTTTAGGGTTGAGGATGCTCTTCAACCAAACGGATCCAAGCCAATAAACCTGCATGGCCTTCAGTCTCGGGACCCTTCGTTCAGACTTTTGTTTTAGCTTTGAATCTTAATATTTCTCGTCTAATTAAACTGAACGCATTGCAAGCTTAGGGGTTAAGCTTTCTCTCGCAGACTTAAATTTCAGGCACGCGGGTTAAGGCTTGAGTAAGCTGCGTAACACTTGACGCACAAACTCTCAAATCACAATGACGTATTCATATAAGTATGTGTGTGTATATAAACATATAACCTTCAGGCATCACCGGGCCAGAGAAGCGTCGGCAAAAGACCAATTTCTTGAGGGAACCTTTGTCCCAGCCACCGCAACGGCCGGAGCATCCGACGAAGAAACAAGACAAACAGTCGAGGCTCCAATTTAGGACCTGAATCATGTAGAGGCCCTAAGGATTATCAATTCTATTTTGGGGTTGCTTATTCTATAGTATAGTATAGTATACCTCAAAACCATATGCTGACTATTAAGTCCCCTATATTGATCAGAATCTGGTCTTGGCGTACGTTATATGTGGGTCAAACCTTCACAGAATACTTACGGCCCCCTGTGGGTTTGCTCTAAAGCCGCCCGACTGCAAGGCCAGCCTCAAGCTCTCAACTAAACCCCAACATACCCACATACACACACTAAGCCCTTAACCAAAAACCCCATAACCCGTAACTATGTACATGTGTATATATATATACACACACACACACTTAGATCCTAAACCCTCGACCCTAACCAAAACCCCAGAGTCAAGAAATCGCTCCACGGCCGCTGTGAAAGGCATGTTCTGCGAAGGTCGGAGAGCACTTTTCAGCCCGAGCTGCTCCGTTCTAGAGTTTAGACTTGAAGGGTTTCGGGTTTAAGCGCTTTGGGTTTTAGGGTTTAAGGTTTAGGTTTGAAGGTTTAGGGATTTTGGGATGTAGGGTTAGAGGGTTGGAATACATTTAGGGCTACTCTGGGCATTCGATTTTTTAGGCTCTGCTCAGCTTTGGTTGGGGATTCAGGCTTGCGGATTTCTCACCTTGGTCTAAACGGTCCGGGTGTTCGGGTTGCAGAGCCTTGCTCTGTGGGGTCGCAATACAAGATAACTCAAAACTAACGTAACTAATGGTTGTCGTCGTGAAAAATTAAAATGCCTTGCTTCTTGATGTCGTTTCAAGCAGGCGTAAAAAGCACCAAAGCATAAGACACCCCCAATCTTAGGGTTGGAGCCGTAGAATGTAGAACTAACTATATTCTTCGTTTAGGTTCCTGTCTTGGTAGGAAGCAATGGTAACCACGAAAAGAAATGCAGTGTAGAGTTATCGTCAAAAGACCATACGAACGCACAAGCTTGACAATGCCCTCAACATCCCCAACCCTACACCGCCTACACTCAAAACCCTTAACCCTACATCACATCTACCCGAAACCCTAACGCCCTTCAAGCAACCTTGTAGATGCCTCCGGATCTTCGTCTGAGGCTTCCGGTAACGACGAAACCCTAGCCTTCATCCCAAGTAATAGGCCCCTAAAACGGATACATCGAATTCTCGCATACCGCATACTCCCTAAATGGTATAGAAGCCCTAAGCAATCCGTGTAGCAGCCTTTTACCTCTTCAAACGCGAACTCTAAACCCATGAAAAGAGCCTCTACCAAGAGACTTCATAACCCGATTAACGAAGGCGCGGTAAATTATAGGAAGGACCTCTTTCTATTGCTTGACGCATGCTCCTCAATGAAAGGAGTTTGGAGTTACTGGGTATGCTCTACATGTGGCGAGATCGGGCTGACAGTGGCAGTTGCTCCGCTGCAGTGGGGCGGGCCAAATTCATTAGGTTGGGAACTTAGGATAGAGGAGTAATAAGGTCTGAAATACAACTTCAGGTTTTGGATTTGAGTTTATTCTAAACCCTTAACCCTAGACTCCTCTTAAACCCTAAACCCCAAACCCTAAACTCTTAAATCCCCCTAAGCCCTAAACTCTTTAAGGGCTTTGGGTCCAGGATGGGAGCCCTGGGATTCGGATTTGACCCCCCCGCCGCGTGGACGTTACGCGAAAGTTTGGCCATGTCAGCTTCCGGGAGGAGCTCCGAAGTTTGGGGGATTAAGGGCTTTAGGGTTTAGGGTATTAGGGCATAAGGGCTTTAGGGTTTAGGGTGTTAGGACTAAAGGGCTTTAGGGTTTAGTGTTTAAGGTTTAAGGTTTAGGGCTTTAGGGCCTCTAGGGTTTAGTGTTGAGGGCCTCTAGGGTTTTAGGGTGTTGGGTTCAAGGAGTATCATACAGTTAATTCTTTTAATGTAGGGCCCTTGAGAATTACCTATACTATTTTGGCGGTTCCTTTTAAAGGGGTTTCTTACAGGGGTCCATAAGGGAACTATGGTAGGGTTCTATAATATAGGTGCCTGAATAATTACCCATGCTATTTTGGGGGGGCTCCTTATTCTACCTAGTATAACATACCCCGAGACACGATTCTCAATATTACGGCCTCTATACTAGGGCCGGTTTGGGGTGCTTGAGTGTCTTTAGGACTTGCGGGTTCTGTAGGGTTGTAGGGTTCTACAAATTTGGGGGTGTAGGGGGTTTAGGGTTTATGGCTTGTGGAGTTTACGGTTCCGGGCCTAAGGTAGCGTTTAGGGTTACGGTTTAGGGCCTTCGGAGTTTAGGGTTTCGGGCTCAGGGCAGGCTTTGGCATTCAGGGCCTTTCGGGTTTTAGGGTCTAGCGCTTAAGATTAACGCAGTGTTTGGGATTTAAGGCGGCCCTAAGCTTTGCAGCTCCAAGGCCAGAAAGCCTACACCGGAAAGTCAACCACACATTTAATCTAAAATCCCGAATTCTGAATCCAAGCCCCCCAGCCGTCCCTAAACCCCGAACGCTCAACCCCGAATCCTATCCGTCAGGGTCAGCCATCGGGCTATCAGGACCGAAGCCCAAAGGGCCCAGAGGACCCAATTATTAATGCAGGGGCCTTAATAATTAGAATAGGGTTTTGGGGTATACTATACTGTAACAAGGAATCATGCGGTTCATATTGGGAATTATGTAGGTTTCTATAGTAGGCCCTTAGGTTTCGGATAATAGTTATGTAGGGTTACCATTTCGAGAGTATATATGATTATTGTGTACTCGGACTCTTAAAGGAAGCCTTAAGAACGAGAATGCATGAGCCTCCGTGTGGACGATGCCGACGTACGACACCTTCTGCGCCAGGCAGGCCTCCCCGTCAGCCTCTGCGGCGTTCATCACGACAGAGGCTGACAGCCCTGGCCGCAACTCCCGAAAGAAGACATCCGGCAGGCTGTGGTAGTTCACGGGCTGCAGGTCGCTCTGCGGCTTCGGGAGCGGTGGGGGATTCGACGCCGGGCAAAGACCGCCAGCCCAGGAGATGCCCTTGGATCCATAGAGTGTAGTCCTCGCACTTTGCGAGAGCTTCCAGACCGCAGGGTCTTCGTAAGGAAGAACTTTCACCGGACCGATGGAGGTGTGCTGATTGGTGCCGTCGTAGGTCTGCAGAGGCAACTTCTGGAGCACCAGGGCCCCCTTGGTCATGATGTGCATGCTCTCGTGGGTCTGCAGGACCCCGCGCACCACAGGGCGGCTATAAACACATATTAAGCAACCCTATTCGAAATACTCGGGCTCCTGCATTGTATTCAAGCCCAGCCCGAACCTGCAAAGCCCTACACAAAAGCCCTATAAATGTGCATTCAACGCACCTATCAAACACCTCACAAACCATGCATCAAAGCCTTCTAAGCCTTCTGAACCCCTAAAACCAGAACGCCCTTTCGGGATGAGGGCGAAAATGGCAGGGGCAAGGCTCAAGGGTTTAGGGTTTGGGCTGCGGGGCCGTGGGAGTTAAGGTTTTGGGTCTAGGCTCATGAGATTTCAGGTACAGACATCTGCTGCCCTTCCGATTCATATTCCGACAAAACAAAACCACTTCCCCCCATTCTTCGATGCTTTTAATTACCCTAGACGCTAAACTCTCCCAAAGGGTCCGAATACTAGCAGCGTATATGCTTTTTGGCACACATATCGATTCAGTAGCTACTATATTGGTGCTTGGACCCAAGCGCCTTAATAGTTAGAATAGGGTTTTGGGGTACATTGTACTATACTTATAAAAAGGAAACCCTCCGAACAAATAGTATAGGTAATTATTCAGGCCCCTATATTCAACCCAGACACCTGGAAACTTAGCCCAAAAACCTAAACACTAACGAACCCCATACAGTAGTACCCTTGAAGGGAGCCCTATTCACAACTCACTGGCCCAACACCCAAGGAAATAAAGGTTGAAACTTTCAGAATCGACTACCTTATAAGAACCCAAAAGTTGAAAAGTTGAGTTTACAGCCAATAAGACAAACCCTTTTCGGTCTCCCCCGTCAGCTGGAGGAGGAGCTGGACGAATCCTCGCGGCGGCTGCGGAGGAGATCGTTGATCTCACCCAAGGAAGGCATGACCTGTCCCCAGGGGCTTTAAAGTTGAAGGGTGTTCGGGGTTTATCTTTGGGTTTGAGGTTTGGGGTTTGGGGGTTTAGGGTTAAGGGCTGTAGGAGAGTTTTAGGGTTTAGGGGTTTAGGCGTCAAGGGTATTTGGGGGTTTAGGGTTTAAGGCATGACCTCCCCCAGGGGTTCCCAGAGGCTCCAATATCTATTTCTGAAGGACATTCAATCATGTTAGGCATCCTACTATCATGGCATATTCCTGAATTGAGGAGTATTGGCTCTGGGTTTAGGGTTTAAGGGTATTTGGGGTTTACAGGTTGGGGTTGGGTCGCTTGGGCTTCCTTTGGGTACTATGAGGGGCAAGGGTTGAACTCGAAGAGCACTGTAGGATGTAGCGTTTAGGCCCTCGTAGCTCTAAGAATCCAAAGTAGACAAGACTTACGAGTTCAGGATAGTAGTAAGGCTGAATTAAAGTTTCGGGTTCACAGTTTCAACATAGGGGCCTGAAGCCTAAACGGGCTTTCTTGTAGGAACCATAGTACAAACACACTAGCGGTCGTTACGGGTTGACTTCGCTGATCACTCAAGTCCAAACCTTAGGCCTTCAAATTGGCGCCTTGCAACTAGAAAAGGGTTGGGGGCATTCCACGGTATAAGTATAAGGAACCCTCGGGAGCGATATTGGCAATTATTCAGGCTTCAATAATAGGGCTTGTGGTTTGGGCGTTGGGATAGACAAAGGTCGAAGCCTTTTAGTCATGCAAGCTCCCGCCTTTTCCTTGAAGATGCCGCCGCCGGCTTTCAGGACAAGTCTCATCCACCTCTCTCTGCATCTCTCCGAAAGATCTGAGGAGGGTGGGGGTTCCCTGGAGGGCTTCTGAGTTTGGGGCCTAAGGGTTGCAGGTCTCTGGGGCCTTAGGGTTGCAGATCTTTGGCTGAGAGTTCTGAGGGTTTTTTTGGGCTTTTGCACGCTAGGGTTCGTTGGGGAGGAGTGGGCAGTTGGGGGGTCTCGGTACATGGTCTGTATAGAAGGGCTATACAACGCCAAAACACGTGTTAAACATATTTTAGGCTGAAGGAAAGATTCGACTTTCGGCGGAGCCGTTAAGTACTCGGCTGAAGGGTGGACAGGCTGCAGGGCTTGGTTTAGGGTTCGGGGCTTACTTAGGGATTAGGAAGTGCTATCACCGGCACACGAAATTCGCTCATCCTGCTTTTGTTTTGGTCCCACGGGTGTCCTGCCGTGCTACAAAGCCCCAGAGCTGAATAACAGCCCTGAGCAAACCTAAAAAGCACCAACAACAACACTGTCAATGGGGAATAAAAAAAAAACCGTAATGGGGACCCCTACCCTATAATGGGCTATTCAATGGGTTTGGAATAGCTATACTAAGGGTATATACCTAGGTGTCCTTATTAAGGGTCCCTCCTTCTACCCTTGGACACTGTAAAACTCTAACCTAGTGCAAAGCCTATAAAGCCCCCAAGCCCTGATTTAAAATCCTACAGAACCCTAAAGCTCTAACAGACACACTACAAAACCTCTAAAACACCCTAGTGCCCTGACCAAAATCCTGTAAAACACCAAAGCCCTGACCAAACATCCATAAAATCCCTGAGGCCCCAACAAAACCCAATAAAGCAGTCGAACACCCGAACAGAAACCTTAAACAACCCTCTGAAACCCTACAAAAGACCTTAAAAACACGCTCAATAATTATAGAGGCCTTAATACTTACCTCTTTTGTGGTGTTCCTCATTGTGTTTATCGTATATAATGGCCTCGAAACCCTAGCCCAAACCCCAAAAACAACCCCTCAAAGCTCCCAAAACGCCGGCCTCAAGCCACCCCTGAACCCAAAACCACAAGAACCCAAAGCCCCAAAAGCCCGCAAAACTGTAGAACACCAAAACCCTGCAGAACCCCTAAAACCGTATAGACCCCTAAAACCCTAAACCCCAAAAACCCCTAAAAAACGCCCTTAAAGGAACCCGTAAGGGAGCCCTTAACGGAACCCATAAAAGGAACCCTTACAGGAACCCCTAAACCCTAAACCCTTAAAGGAACCCTAAAACCCCAATGATCGCCAGCCTCAGGTCTTCTACGGTCGGCCGCTCGTCCTCTGCAATGAGGTGCTCGGCTTCCGCCTCCTGCAGCGACCGGTGCTTTAGGCTTTTGGTATCATAGGGGTCCTTTAGAAGGGTTTAGGGTTTAGGGTTTTGGGTCTTGGGTTTAAGGTTTAGGGGTCCTTTAAAGAGTTCCTTAAGAGGCTTGCTTAAAGACTTCAGAGTTTGGGCTTAAGGATTTGGATCTTGGTCGGACCTGTGATTCAAAAGCCAATCAAAAGGGAGCTTCCTTGAAGGGCCTCCTCAAAGGGTTCCTGCCTGAAGGACGAAATGACCCTTAACAGTCGGGGCCCTATACCCATATACTATGAATCCCTATATGGTATATGAGCCTTAAACCCTTTTAGGATCCATTTCGTCCTTAAGGTGGGAGGGCTCCTCCAAACACTCCCTAAAGCCGTCCTCAGAAAAAGCTTCTTTAAAGGGATTCTTTAACAAGGCTCCTGAAAGGAGTCCGTCATGGGTTCCTTATTGAAGGGTTCCTTCAAGGATTCCAGTGGCCAGGGTTTCTTTGCGCCCCTCTTTGAAAGGGCTCCTCAGGCCCTCTTTAAAGGTCTTTAGGGATCTGGAGTTTAGGGTTGGGGGTTAGGGGTTTAGGGCTTAGGGGTTTAAGGTTTAGGAAAGTTTAGGACTCAAGGGTTTTTAGGCTTCGGGGGTTCCGTAAGGGTTCCTTAAAGGTTTTGATCAGGATTCTACAGAGGTCTTTTCGCTTGGTTTCAAGGCTTGCAGGGTTCTACGTTTTAAGGCTTTAGGCTGTAGCGCTAGATCACCATAGGGACCGTAATGGAATACTACTAGGTAAAAAACAACTGTTCAAACAAACCCATGCAGTCCTGAAGGACGAAATGACCCTTAAAAGTCGGGGCCCTATACCCATATACTATGAATCCCTATATGGTATATGAGCCTTAAACCCTTTTAGGGTTCATTTCGTCCTTAAGGGTAATCCTTCTTGCTGCGCTCCTGCGAATCAACTTCGCTTCCTGGCCTGAACAAGGATTATAGTACAGTACTTGGAGGGTCGGGGGACTTAGTAAGTAGGTAATACGTAGAGTTATAAGTACCCTAAAAGGGATCCTAATTGGGGTTATGGTACTTATAAGTCTCCAAAATAAATAGTTACTAAGTCCCCCGACCCTCCAGGTAGTCGAAACACATCGGAAGTTAACCACCTAGCACCCTACAAGCAAACCGTCCAACTTGAAAGCCAAACCTTGACACCCTTGTCCTACACTTCAGCAAAAAGCCTGCGGTTCTTTTCACCATCTTCTGCGTCGTGGGCTTTATGGTGTCTACTGCCTGTGCGACCTCAAAGAAGCGACGTTTGAGGCGGCAGAGCCTGCAAAGGAGGTTTAGGGTTTAAGGGTTAAGGGTTTAGGGTTTAGGGTTTAGGGTTTGGAGTATCCTGAACTCAATAAATCAGCAAAGCAACATTGGGTAGTTGGCAAAACTAAGGTCCCTTTTTGGGCACCCTAGATAAGAGGTGCCGCATTATAATAGGGGCCCAAAAATTAAAAAGGTACCATAATTTTGACAACCGCCCACATGAAACAAGAGTAGCGACTTATTGCCAAAAGTGTACTGCACCTCTAAGTTCTGAACCTGGGGTTCAAACACCTGCTGACTTTGCCGCGATCATCTCAAGAGCATTCATGTGCCCCTAACAAGAGCGCATGACCCTAAACGGTAGTAGTATCTTGACCACTCACTCGAGCGAAACCTTTGAAGTCCCTTGCTTTAGGCTTCGATGGCGAGGACTGCCGAAGCTCGGGCTTGCAGAGATAAGGGCGCTAAGAATGGATGCAAAACGGAACCCTAATCTGCAGAACTACCTATACCCCAAACCCTGAGCCCTAATGTAGGGGCCTTAGTAATTACAGTAATCCCTATCTGTTATTATCTATGGATTTTGATACGTAGAGCGGCCCTAAAGGCCTATAATAGGGACCTCTCAAACGTAGGCGCAACCCGATTGAGCCAACAGCGCCGACAAAACCTACCTTCTATAGCTCCTTGAGTCGTGTTGTTGATGTATAAGTCCGAAAGGTACGTACTGTACAGTAGGTTCTTTGGGGCTTAAGAGCGTCCGCAAGCCTCCGCACGTCCCGCAGCTGCTCTGCGACAGCTGCAGAGTCCCCTCCGTAGCGTGCATCGCCCCAAGTGACCTCAACACGAACTTCGGGTTCAGGGTTTACCTTAACCCCAAATAACCTACCTTTCTAGGGACTTATATAAAGAAATCATATTAGGGGGCCCTAAAAGGGTAGGTTCCTTAGGGTTCAGGGTTTAGAGTTTAAGGGTTTAAGGGGCTTGGGGTTCAGGAGGGGTTGGGTTCAGGCTCTGGGGTTGTTGGACTTCAGGGCTCAGGGTTCACTCTTAAGGATGTAAATTCCAGATCTGGTGCTTTAGCATTGAGGGCTGCAAGGCAAGGGAGGGAGTCTGGTTCGGGTATAGCGAGCTTCAGATCTTGCGCTTCCCCTTGGTCCCCGCTCGCGCGTACCCAGGTTTAACTGAGGAGATGGTGGCCGGGGTTAGGGTTTAGGGTTTGTGCGGCCTCCATTTCTTATTGCTAAACCGGCCGGGTCGCAACGGAGCCGTCTGCTCTCAGCGCAGCGAAAGCGGCGCAGGAGGCCCAAAGATCACAGACCTTCAGCTTACTTTGGGGCTTCATGGGTCTGCTTGTAACCCCAAACAACCCCTACAAAATAGTTTTCAGGTTAACACAGCTTTGTTAAGGGGTATGGTCCCTAAAACAGTAAACTAGAGCAGAAGACCTTCAAGTGGGGAGAAGCTATGCAGCTTGAAACTTCATGGAAAAAGTACCCTGCAGGTCCACACAGCCTAATCATTGGGTAGGTGTGTTTAGGATAGTCGTTTGTAAGTGCCAGAGTCGATTTTCAGTGTTAGGTTGTTGGTGGACATGTGTGACTTCGGTAGTTGAAAGATCTCATGCTTGCTTGTGTTACTATGCTTGGAAGATTGAGAGTCTGAAGCAGAAGGCTTTGGAGCGCAATGTAGATATGTGATAATCTTGCACCTTTTTTTTGGGGGGGAGGGGGGGGGGGCTCAGACTCAGCATCCCGTTGTGATGGACTGACAAACCTGATTCAGGGAGCGGATCTAACACTCGGGGTGGCAATAGGGCTTGCAGGGCACTCGGATGGAAGGGTTGAACCTTGAACGGGTTTAGGATACTTGCTTCTTGTTGGCAGGACTGGCTTCAGGATTGCCCTACGGGTGACGCTGGAATTATAGTAATTCTATTGTCCGGAGCAAAGTATATGTATACAGAAAGCCAAAACTCCATTCTAGTCATTTCGGCCCCCGTATATCACCGCTGAATCCCAATTTCCCACCTCGCTCAGCTGATGGCGCAGGGCTTTGCCTCGGTGGAACAGTAGGGCTCAGTCTTCAGAGCTTTATCGGGTCAAAGGGCTCAACAAATTGAAAACAGGGGCCTTAATAATAGCAATAATAATAATAGTAATAATAATTAGAGTCGGGTTTTGAGAAAGTTATACTCTTTCTCAAAACTTACTCAATTAGAATAGGGTTTTGAGTAAGTTACACTATTTCTGCTTAAAATGAGGAGCCGCAAAACTAGTATTGGTAAGTGCTTGGGCCCCTATAGTAGGTACTTGGAGGATCATGGGACTTAGCAAGTATGGTTATAAGTACCTTAATTGGGGTTATAAGTAATTATAAGTATAGTTACCCTAATTATAACCCAGTTACTAAGTCCCATGATCCTCTAAGTGTAGCAGGATGCTCCAGGGTTTCGGGCATGCCCCGATCCTTCCCAAAGCGGCAGCGTTTCCAACGAGGGTCTGACAGGTTCTGCTGCAAGTCAGGAACAAAAAATCCGTACAGACAATATCCCCTGGTTCCTTCATAAGCAGTGTAGAGTTAAGTAATTACGACTATGATTCGCGGGGTTCTTTTATTTAGATAAGGTCTGATGTCTTCTGTCAGGAGGACGCTGGGGATGAACTTAGTGCATATTCTACTGCATACTGATATTCTTGCACCCTCACGAATAGTGTGATAATCGTAAACATTGGCTGTACTACTTATTTGTATATTACAAGAGAAGTAGGGAGCTGCCGCTTTGGGAGTCAAGCTACCCAGCCACTTCCAGGAGGCAGCACATACAGCTCTACAGACCTACAAAGAAGCCATACTCTCTCGCTGAGCATGTACGAAGGAAGCTTGAGAAACGTATTTATATTTGTTCAAGCCCTAGATCAAAAAAACTTTAAGCCCCTGTCTGCCAGACTTTATTTCGGGGGCTGATGGCAGCGTTTCGGGTTCAGGGATCGGGGTTTGGAGTTTGAGGGTTCCGCTACGGGTTGACGCCCGTTACGGAAACTTGACTGGGCCATTTTGCGTGGTCCGCCAAAGGCAATCCCTTGAAAGGAGGTCCCTTGGTCGATCTGCCATTCCCTTACAACCACAGAGAAGGAATTAAGACTGTGTGTTTCAGGTTCAGCAGGAATCCGAATCCCTAGCTGTACTCAAACCCCCCTTCTTTCGGATGAAAGTGGCTGTCACCACCATAGTGGACGTCTCCCCAGGTCACGACCCGCCCATCCTCTGCAGCATCACATACTAGTTGACAGCTTCTTTTGTGGTGTCGAGCTGTGGGCTTGTAGACGAATGACTTTAAGAACTCTTCAGACCCCTAGAACCCATTAAAACCCGTAAAACCCTTAGGGCACCTCAAACCCTACAACCCAAACCCTAAACAAATTAGAGGGGACTCTGCCCTACTGTAGAGGCCTTAATGGTTAGAATAGGGTTTAGGGGGTTCTCTATTATAATCGTTGTGTACCATACCCCCAATCCCTATTCTAATTGTTAAGGCCCCTACATTATGGTACCCTGAGAGTATCCCTGAGAGTAGCCCCTTTAGGCCCCTTCGAAAGGAACCCCTATTCTAATTATTCAGGCCCCTACATTATAGAACCCTACCATTCTATAGATCCCCTAAAGACCCCTTCAAAAGGAAGCCTTAAAGGAATCATCAGGTAATTATGAAGGCCCCTATTCTTGATCAAGGCCCCTACATTATCGGCTTCCGGTCCTCCAGCAGCGCTGCAAAGGCGAAGCGAGTGGCAACCACTCGCTGCACGCCCCGAAGCTGCCTCTTCAATTTGCTCTTTTTAACCTTAAGGAAATGAACCCTAAAAGGGTTTAAGGTTCATATACGATATAGGGATTCAAGGATATGGGTATAGAAGCTGTCTCTTCTTTATAGTTTAGAGTTCAAGGGCTTAGTGTTTACATGGCTTGAAGGCTTATAACAAGTTTCCAAGCTCTGAGACTTAAGGTTTGGGGCTTCAAGGGTTGTTCTCTTGCTTTTGTGTATTTTCTATCGTCTCTAGCCGGCCAGAGACGAAGGACGCCAGACTCCACACATTTTCGGGTTTGGGGCTCAGGATTCGAGGTTTGGGGCTTAGGGTTTCGTGTCAGTCGTGGTTGTTTCAATGATGTGCTTCGGTTTCCAAACGTTGGGGATTCATGTTCGCAAGTGCACCGGGGTATGCGTTGGGATCGCCCTCTGTCCGCTCGGGCGTGGCGAGGCTTGTACTTGAGATGTCGCTACCTCAACCTTTTCAAGCAAAGGTCTCGAGCTCGTAACCCCAACAGGCCCAAAGACGGCCTTCGGATCATAAAGTCCCTCCTAGACACCAACAGGAATTTCAGTCCCCAACCAAGCCCTGCGAAAACCCCATCTGCTTGAGTCGAGCCCCATGCGCCTGACTCCGCTGAAGGCATTCCGTCCCCAAAGCACCTGCGAGAGCTTTTGGTGGGGCGTAGGCCAAGGGTCAGGTATGAACCCTAAAACACCGACTTGGTTGATTCTCCTCATTAATTATTAGGTTGAAGGTCTGGCTTCAGGATTGAATGCATCTTCTCGGGGTTGCGGGGGGCCCCAGCAACTGTAGATGAGAATGTATGGACCCTACCAAGAAAGTGTCTGGTAGGCGAAGGTACACTATGGCTGACATGCTATCTCTCTCCAATCTTAACAGGATCCTAGGAACCTGAATCGGGGATAAGTACGAGGACTACAGTTATTTGTACTTCATTCTTAGCATGGAGACCCCATATGCGGGCTTTCTATTACAACGTAAGTTACTTGAGGGAGTTTACGGTCTACGCAAAAGAGAAGCGGCTCATGAATCAGGGCTTTACATGTTGGGTTTCACGGGCTCCGGTCAGGATTACCTGCAGCCCGACAAAACACCCGTGTTGATGAATTGTACCAAGAAACCATGATAAGGAACTGTAGAAAGAGGTAGTTTTTTGGGCCTGCGTAACAACCGAAAAAAAGCTTCTATAGAAAGCTCACAAAACGCCTACGAAGACCTTCTGTTGTGAAGAACTTAAAAGCCTCCCTCAAACCAGTTGAGATCCATAAGAGCTCACAACACCCTGGAAGACCCTATGATTCCATGTCCCCATTGAAGACGCGAAAATGACCGTAACCCTAAACCCTAAACCCTAAAACCCTAAACCCTAAACCCTAAAACCCTAAACCCTATAAACTCCGTGTGGCAGCTGGAGGCACCACGCGGCCATCGCGACGTACGGCCGCGAAGGCTTCTTCGGAGGCGCTGAGCTGGATGACCTCTCCCAGCTTCTTTGGAAGGAGGGGTTTAGGGTTTAGGGTTTAGGATTTAAGGTTTAGGGTTTAGGATCTTTAGAGGGATATGTAAAGAGGTGGAGGGCTGGCGGTTCGTTAAAGGGGTCTACAAGAGCCTCCTAGGTGTCTTATTGGGTTGTTTTTTTGAAGTTCATGATGAGGGCATTAGCAAGTCTTGGGGTATAGTATAGTAAAACTACAAAAAAGAGGAACCTTACTGAATGATATTACGGTAAAGCTTCTATATCACCTCTGAAGGGTTCTTTCCAGGATCTGACTTCGATCTGGTGGGCTGTTGCGGGTTTGAGGGAGGGTGCATCACTTGAGGCCAAAACCATTCTGTGCTGTTGCTTTAAGAGGCTGGGTGATACTCTAACCCCAAATGACCTACCTTTTCTGAGGACCTATATAAGGAAATCAGAATAAGGAAACCTAATAGGGAAGGTTTTATGGGGTCCAGGTGGGCGAGAGGCCAGGGGTCCGGTTTAGGGTTCAGGGTTCGGGTTCGTTTGCTGGCGGCAAGGTGGATCCCATTGTGGTCCCTTTGTCACCCCTCACAGGGAATATACCACTACTCCCATAGTTTAGGGTCCTTAAAGCCTTTAGGCAATGCAGGAGCTAGATCATCAATCGTAGCACCCCCATAGTTTAGGGTCCTTAAGGCCTTCAGGCTTTATATATATATATATATATATCATCTATCTTGGCACTCGGCCTTTAAAAGAGGAAACCTCCCGGCAAAAGGGCACTACTGGGCAACCGAGGCTTTCCTTAAAGCACCAGCAGCAGTCGGCAAATATCGGGGCCTTGATATGGGTAGTTGTCAAAATTAGGGTCCCTTTTTTGGGTACCTTAAATAATAGGTGCCCTGCTATATTAGGGACCATCATTTAATAAAATAACCCATACCCCAAGACCCTGTTCTAATGATGAAGTCCCCTGAGGCATGGTGCCCTTCAGACGGGTCTTACTAGAGGGGCCTTATGATATTTGAAACAGGCCCTTTGGCTCCTTCCTCGTATAGTTACAGTTATAAATGTAAGGAACCCTAATAAACACTTATCATTCTTCCGTCGGTGCTAGGCCTCTTGAATCATAACATTTCTGATTCTATTCTTCGGCTTCCATAGTACTTGGCTCTAGACTTCTTCTGGGTTCGACCTTCGCGGGTGTGCAGCAGAGCTCCACCCTAAACCCTAAGGCCATAACCCTCCTGAAGGACCAAATGACCCTTAAAAGTCGGGGCCCTGGAACCCATATACCATGAACCCCCAGATGGTATATGTTAAACCCTTTTAGGGGGTTCATTGATTTCGTCCTTAGCCTTTTTGGGGGCTTCGTTTCGTCCTTAACCCTAAAGGCCCTGCGACACCTCTCGCAGCTGGCAGAGAGAAGCCCGGCTCTCCGCGTTGCGCACACCCTGCCCCCAGGACACCTCAGGCGGAGGCGGAGGGCTCTGTGGGTTTCTGGTGTTCATAGCTTTGGGTTCTTTGAAGGTTTAGGGCGTTTGGGGCTTGAGCTTTATAGGGCTTAGGGCTTTTAGGGTCTAGGTGTGTTTTTGCTGGTCTGTTTTGGTGGGCTTAGGGTTTTTTAAAGTTTCCCTGCTTGCCTGGTTCTCCGTAGTAGAGTGAGGGCAGGGGTTGTACAGCAGCCATCCGGAACCCTCTTGGGGTTCCACTTCATGCGAAAAGCCCCAAGCCCTAAATCGCCACGGTTGAGGGTCTAGGTTTGAGGTTTAGGGCTTCGGGTTCAGGGCCTAAGAACCCTGATGCCTCAAACTCAAAGCCCTCTAACCCCCGAAACCCCAGAAGCCTATCGACAACTCAAAGCCGAAAGCCTGATCGTGTTAATCCTAAAACCTGCCTTTATAAAATACCCAAGACTGAAACCCGTAATCCCCCAAACCCTAAACCCCAAACCCCCAAACCCTCACAAACCCTTCAAGCACCTTCATGATGAAACCCCTCTTGAAGCCCTTCAAGCCTTCTTTCAAGCCCGCTTGAAACCCTCACAAACCCTAAGCCCTAAACCCTAAACCCTAACTCACAAACCCTAAAGTCCCTAAGGCCAAGGCAAGGCACTACACCCCCTGTGTCCAAAAGGGCCGCAAAGGCTCCGCGAGTTGCCACGAGCTGCAAAACCTCTTGCGTGAAACTGAAAGGGGGCCTTAACCCTATAAGGACTCATATATTAAGGCTTTTGGGCGCAAAGACCATACTATGTAAGGCTTTTGGGCCATTTTGAGCCTGAGGGTAATAATCAGAACAGGGTTTTGGGGAACATTATACTAGAAGGAGCCCAAAGAGATAGTGTTGAAAATTATCTAGGCTGATTTAGTACTTGTTTTGCGTCCTGTGGATATTTATACAGTTGTCGCTACCATACGCTGTGGCTAGTATTACTGTCAGCGCCGGTCCTTCGATTGTTGCTACTCTCACTGACTTTTTGTTGTTGTTACTGCTATTCTTCTTGAACATAATTTACATTTACAGAAAATAACACACTACAGGCCCGAGTTTTTCGGCTTTCCGTTTTCGCACTGTGAGAAAAGGTTTCACTAGAATCGCATATCTACCTGATGCATCTACAGGATCTTGTGTGAGGCCCACAAAAATTTATGCTGTATATAGTCTGGAACCAATACAACAAAGAATGCAAACGGAGCTGAAAGCTTCTGCCGGGAATATGGCGCGCGCACAGTGCATATAGAGCGAAAAAGAGAAAGCCTAGGCCCCGAAGCCAAAGGATCCTGGTCTAGGGATCCTGGACCGGGGGGGGGGGGAAAAAATAAAAATAAGGGGCGACCGGTATCAGTTTTTTTTTTTTTTTTTTTTTTTTTTTTTGCCCCCCCCCCCACCCAGGGACTTTATAGCCCAGCCCTCTGAGCCTGGAGCCAGGCCTGTGGATTGAGTCTTTGAGTCTCGGAAATGCTTGAAGCCCTGGAGCGACCAAGGAACAGGATCACGAGCAAACCTGGAGTCAAAACTAAAGAGGAACATACACAGAAATGTGCATCTATGCCATTCACAGCCCTCGCAAGCGCATATTGATTCGAGCATAGAGTCATAGGAACAGCTTGCCTTTTTGCAACTCCGAAGCTAACATGTGCCATACATATGTGTCCACCTGCTTTGACACATGTGTCTATGTGTACATACAGGAAGGAGGATTCGTCGCATCACAACTCATTTGTGGTTCTAAACATATGTGCCCATCCATCTCGATTGTATGGGTATGTGTGAGTACATGTTAATTACATAAAAACATACATACATGCAGACAATTAGGTCATACCTGTGAATAAACCTGAGGCATATATGCTCGCATAAATGCCAAGTCGAAAATATTCCAATGTATCAATGATGGTATGATCTGTCTTAATATGAATGAACATTTGTTATACTGCATTTTTCTCTCCATGGATGTAGCGATAGGTCTGCCACCAAACAGGTGCACGAACACGTAATTAAGATTTTATTGTGGGTCGACAGGATAGGTGTCAATTTGTTAGCATCACTTCTTTTTGTGGTCTTACAAGCACCCTGGAGCCAGATTTCCGATCCGTTTATTTCACTGAGTGCCTCGGCCTTGTCCATGTCGGTGCTCTTTGCAGTCCCTGATCTCCGGCTTCAATGATGAAGGTTCCCCCACATACCGACTGCTTTTGGTCATATCCTCCCATGGCTGTATTCTGTGTGTGGGGGGGGGGGGGGCAAGAGAGTAGTGCCTCATAGGATGTGGTAGATGCAACCCATGGTCTCCTTTCCACAGTTGGGGTCAGAGTTCCCTGAATGGCTAGCTTTGTTATTTGCCATTTCGAGCCAAAGTTGATGTGTCTTTTGGGGTATCCATTATTCCGTCCTGCTGTTATGATTTCGATCATCATTGAAAAAACACGAAAATGCCAGAGATTTGGATCATTTTTGCAGAAGGTTTGCATGGGGTGTCAGGGGTCACCAATACTTGCAATACTAAGACCCACAACAACTTGTTATGTGTTCGTGCGTTTGTTTGGTGGTAAACCTATCAGTACATCAATACAGAAGACATAATACAGTACAACTATTGTCCAGTTCTTTTCAAAATGAGTATACCATGTGGGAGCACATATAAACCAGCATTAATATTTAAACAGATGACTGTGGTCAGATTGAAACTTGCAATCATATATGCCTCAGGTCTACTCACAGGTATGGCCTGTTGACCTTTGATTTAATACATATACTCACACACCCAAACAACCGACATATACCAAGATGCATGGGCACATGTATTCACACGCACAAATGTGTTGTCATGCGATAGATATTCGAATCTGGATGTACGCATAGACACCTATGTTTACACATGTGTATGGGCAATGTTTGAATAAGAAGTATCTAGAAGGCGTATGGCTGCACGAGAGGAGAAGATGGGTGGCATCTGCCATATCCTATGAGGGACTACTTTGCCCTCCCCCCACACAAAACACAGCCAAGGGTCATCGCGGGATATGACCAAAGAACGGTAGGTATGTGTGGAGACACTCATCATTGATGCCCGGGATAATCGACTGCAAATAGCACCGACATCGACAAGGCCGCGGCACTTAGTGAAACAACTAGTTCTAGAATATAGAAGTTGTCCTTATTTGCATGTATGTATGTTTTGATCTCATTAACATGTACTCACACATACCCATACAATCGAGATGGATGGGCACATATTTTTAGAACCACAAATGAGTTGTGATGCGACAAATCCTCCTTCCTGTATGTACACATAGACACATGTGTCAAAGCAGATGGACACATATGTATGGCACATGTTAGCTTCGGAGTTGCAAAAAGGCAAGCTGTTCCTATGACTCCATGCTCGAATCAATATGCGCTTGCGAGGGCTGTGAATGACATAGATGCACATTTCTGTGTATGTTCCTCTTTAGTTTTGACTCCAGGTTTGCTCGTGATCCTGTTCCTTGGTCGCTCCAGGGCTTCAAGCATTTCCGAGACTCAAAGACTCAATCCACAGGCCTGGCTCCAGGCTCAGAGGGCTGGGCTATAAAGTCCCTGGGTGGGGGGGGGGGCAAAAAAAAACGAAAAAAAAAAAAAAAAATGATACCGGTCGCCCCTTAACTTTTTTATTATTTTTTTTTGGCCCCCCCCCCCCCCCCGGTCCAGGATCCCTAGACCAGGATCCTTTGGCTTCGGGGCCTAGGCTTTCTCTTTTTCGCTCTATATGCACTGTGCGCGCGCCATATTCCCGGCAGAAGCTTTCAGCTCCGTTTGCATTCTTTGTTGTATTGGTGTCATGCTACATAGTCTTATAATTGGCGATGAGCCAAATCACGCAAAATACATAAAATCCATCTATTCTACTCGAAAAACACGGGCCTGCATTCCGTTACACACTCTACATTTAATATACTGCTTAATTATTTGCGTATTAGTCTGCTGTTCTCGGTTTATTGGGATTGGGAGTGTAGGACTCTTTATAAGCTTAGCTCTGCAGGGTTTAGGGTTGTGCATTGCATGTTTACTTGGGCTGGGGGGGGGGTTTGGGGTTCAGGATTTCCGTGAACCCTGCAGCACCTCACTCGACTCCCAGCCTCGAAAAAGAGTAGGAAAAAACATATATATATATATATATATACATATACGTTTTTTGCATATATATATATATATATATGTATAGAGAGAGAGAGAGAGAGAGAGAGAGAGAGAGAGAGAGAGAGAGAGAGATAGATAGATAGATAGATAGAGATTGGACCCTACAATTCACGCTGTCATTTTCGAGGATTCGAGGAGGAGAACCCTGCATGCGCGACCCGCGGCTTCTTTGAGCGCCGGCCTAAACGCATCTTCAGCCGGGCTCCGATTCCCGAGTCCTTGAAGGGCCCCTGAAACAAGGTAGCTGAACCGTTCTGTCTGACATCTGACCCTAAACCCTAAACCCCTACAGATCCCTAAACCCCTGAACCCGGCTTGGAGAGGGTCTAAGAAGGACAAGCCAAAAACTGGGAGTCTCACCCCATGCAACTCGTATGGCTCGTCGACGCTGCGAGCGCCGTAGCAATGCTGCCCCCAGGAAATGATGCGACCGTCCTGGTTTGCAGGTGAGTCTAGAGTCTAGAGGGGTTCACGGTGAGAAAGTTTAGGACGTAAAGTTTAGGGTTTACGGAAAACGAAACCTAAGGAATTTGCACAGGTTCCCGGTCTAATTAGGTTCAGGCTAAGATAAGCGCCCAACTTTCACCCGTAGCCCAAAACCGTACACTCAAAACCCTCAAACACTGAACCACAACTACTCGGAAACCTCAACAGCACTCAATCATACAGGGATCTCAGTGATTAGTGGCGGTTCATACCCCACCCTTTTATTGAAATTCTCAAGCCCCTGTGGTGCAAGCTTGTACAGACTGAACTGAAGACCTATTAAGGCCTCATAAAACCTCGTAAAGCCCGTACATAGGCACCCTATCCTCCCCAAAGGCTCCCCTTCAGTTCCATTTAGGGGGTTATCTAAAAATCCTAAAAACTATCGGTTGAACCCCAAAAGGGAACTCCTTAAAAACCCCTAAACCCTAAACCCTAGACCCTAAACCCAAAACCCCAAAAAGGGAACTACCATGGAGACGGGAAGTCAGGCCCCTAATGCGAGAGGCCCGTCCTCACGGATTGCCACGAAAGCGCCCAGGGACGCCGCAAGGAACTTGATGTCGAAAAGCTGCTCCTGCCGGTCCAAAAGAGTTTCAGGGTTTAGGGTTTTGGGGTGTAGGGTTTAGGGGTTTAGGGTCTCGGGTTTGGGGTTGAAGGGTTTAGGGATGAAGGGGTTAGGGTTGAGGGTTTAGGGTTCAAAGAAGGGTTGATGGTTCAGGCCGGGTCATAAGTGGGCCCCGAATTCAGGTCCTGTTTTGCTGCTCAGGGAAATACTTGTAGCACCCGAATCCCAAGCAAAACGTGAGACACCCAACCCTCAGGCCCCAAAATCAACCCCAAAATTCGAAACCTTCGTCCCCAACTCGTCTTAAGCGTTCCTTATCAAACTGATGAAAGAAGCCCAAGCCCTAAACTACAAAGCCCGCAACCCTTAGGCTCCCTAACCCCATACAGCTTGGCGAAGTTTTATATCGTCCGTTCACCTAGAGCCCTATATAAATCCCAAACTCCTCCACGCCCCTCAAAGCCCTAAACCCCAAAAAATCCCTGACAAACCCCTGCAGACCTCCAGAGGCCCCTTGCAGATCCCTCTCCTTCACCTCCGCGCTGTTCCCTCCCAGTCGCTCGGAGCCCCAGCAGACCACCGAACCATCGCCCAGGAGCACGGCAAAAGCCTCCTGCTTCTGAAATGAAGGGTTGAGAGATTAGGGCTCTTCAAAAAGGTCTTTGCGGCATACGGACTACGGAGGGGTCTTGGCAGGTAATTTTAGGGGCTTAGGATTTGGTGTTTAGGGTTAGGAGATTATAAGGTCAAGTGTAATCTTGCAGTTTGGGCTTGGGAATGTTGATGAGGATGTTTCGTCCGGGCCGATGGGTTTTGGGGGTGAGGGCTTTGGGATGTGATGTCCAGCGATTTGGGGTTTCTGGCGTAAGAGAAATGAACGGTCGAGATGTCTTGACAGTCGTGCACGATCTACAGCTTGGGGATTGTACCACAGTCTACTATATTCTAACGATGCCACTTGCATGAACTTTACACTGATCCTCGGCAGTCTAAACCCTTCCGAACGCAACCCCCCAGGGCTCCTTGCCCTTGTAGCTTCCTAGTGCTTCCGCTGCACAAGGTTTGGGCTCCACCATAAAGCCACAACGACCTTTCAAAACACACACCAGGTGAAACCCTGTAATTAGACCAGTGACCGAACTAACAAATCTTCAGCCCTCCATCCTACGAATCCCTAAACTCTAAACCCCAACCATAATCCTTCACAGACAGAGAGTACTCCTCTGTTGCCTGAATCTCGCGCACGTCGGTAAGTCGTCCAGCCTGATCGATACAAGGTTGCAGGCCTCAACCTTACAAAAGGGGCCTTAATAATTAGAATAGGGTTTCGGTGCCCGTTATACAATAAATATCTAGGATGCCATGCCCAGTGACCCCGAAAAAAAGGGCTTCCTTTTTGGTATTGCGCACCTTTATAAGGAACCTAGGACTACAAAAGCCAATAGGGGTACTACTGGGCATCCTAGATATAATGAGGAACCCCCCAAAACAGAATTGGTAACCATTTAGGCCCCGGACATTACACACTAAACGCGTCTGGGTCTGTTCTTGGCTTCGTTTTGAGATCTTCGGTTGAAGCTCCAAAGCCTATGATCGAGGCCCGCGGGCAATGCTCAGGAAGTAATGTAGAAACCTGATTAAGAAAACCTGGGCCTATAATCCACCCCGAAAAATAGTAGGGCTCATAGAAGGAACCCTAGTAAAGGCCCAAGGTTTCTTAACCAGATTCCTGCATTACGACTTGCAATCGCTTCAGAAACACTGGTCTAAGCGTTCCGTAAGTCCCGGAATCTCTGATACGCAGCGGGTCTAGATGTAATGTGAGCTTCAGACAACAAAGCGGTTAGGCGTCGATATCCACAGTCCCATAAGTTATTTGCATTTAGGGCTCTGTGTACAACAATCAGGGAGATGAAACGCACTTTCCCAAATCGATATTTAGAAAGGATTCTAATAAAGAGCCTGAGCAATAAATTAGGCTTCGCGAAAAGGCTCCCTTAACTTTGGATCCGACTGTTCCGGGTTGATGAATGGACTACACTACGGTTGATGAAATAAATCCTGCATTACCTTCAACACCCTAAACTATGGGAATACTGGAATTTTCCTTATTATGGCTAATGCAGGATGTATATCATCAACAGCAGGGGAGTCTGGGTTGTAGTTTTGGGGCCCTGAAAAGTATTCATGACTAAATACCTCTACAGGAACCACAAGGGAAGGTTCAATTCTTTCCAAAGTGCCAACTCGTAATGTATACACCTGATGACTTTCCACAATGCCCTGCCGAAAAGGGGATGATTACAATGAGATTCTGATATGAGGGCCTCAAAACAGAGCGTGTCTATTAATAGCCAGGGAACTACGTTGACCCTGGGATTTTGATGAGGTAACCTTTGAGTGTATGCATGGATAGCTTATGGCTCAGGGGCTTCAAGCTTTATATGTCGGCCTTCAAAACACGGCTTCATAGCACGCGATGACGGTGTTGTGACGGTTCGGTGGCAACTTATACCGCCGTAAGGAAAAGCCGAAAGCTTCCCAAGTCGCCCCAAGCCTTGCCTCCCCGGAAGCCCTTTTCCCCGACCCTCTCAGGCCTGGACCCCCTCAACTCCAAAGCCCTAAACCCTAAACCCCTAAACCCTAAGCCCCCCAAACCCCAAAACCCCTAAACCCGCAAGCTTCAGGATATCTCGGAGCCCTGCCTCTTTGGGGCAGGAAGAGCCCCATGAGAGCACCTGGCAGGGTGTTGCGACTTAGAGTTTAGAGTTTAGGGTTTAGGGTTGAGGCTTCAGGGTCTGAGGTTTTAGGGTTTAGGGTAAGGTCTAGGGTTTCGACTTGAAACCTTCCTGGTGGCACTGTAGGAACGGTGCTAATTTGTGGTGCACTGATAGCATTTCGAGCTTGGAGGCTTCAGGTTTAAATGCATGAAACCTTAAACCCTACTGGACGCCCCAACTCCTCTAAGTCTTACGCCCTGACACTTCATCTCGCAGTCAAGTCTCTCTTTCCTTCTGCTCTGGATTTTGCCCCGCCCCTATAATACCCAAAAGCCGCATGTTCGGTATGGGGTTGATGGTGCAAGGCGTTGGGTTTAGAGTTGTTGTTTACTTGCAGGTTCAGGGGTAGTTATAAGTGGGGTTATGTGTCCCCTAATATGGGTTTTTGTATAGTTGCCCTAACTATCAGCGTACTTATAACTACCCATGAACCTCCAAGTAGGCTTCAGGGCCAGGTTCCGGGTTCATCCGGACTTGTGCCGTCGGTCGGTCCGCGGGCAACGAGGCTAGCGATGCGGGCCTCTATGCCTCTTGTACCGTATCAGTCCGAGACCACGCCTCAACGAAATTAAGCACCAAACTTACGAGCCGACATCAAAAAAAACGAATAACAAATCAACGATGAAGAAATTTTCTCACAAGTCAAGTCGGAATGACAAGCTTGGCTTCTTTACCGATGTCTTTGTGGTTGATTAATTGCGAAGGTCGACAAAGACTGGATTCAGGGTTCAGGGTTCAACATGCAAGGTTTAGAACTTGAAACTTGAAACACCTGGGCAACAGCTGAAGCCACAGCTCTGCAGTGCAAGATTGTCCGGTATAGGCAGCCTTCAAAGCTTGCATACGCAGCTGGTGTAACATTTCCAAGCGCACCTGGCCATTGGATAGGAGGGCCGCGAGACCACCGCTGCAAGCTGCGACTTGCCTCAGGGCTGCTGAAATGAACGCAGCCTCTTGGCGTTGAGATTCCCGGCCTACGGTGCCTGGTTGCAGGTGCCGAGCTTGGAGATCGAATGTGTAGATGTATAGGGTTCAAAGACTTAGGCCTTGCGGTTGAAGGCCGCAGGCCTTAACAGCTGTGAAGGTTTGTTGCAACACGTTCAGTTCATGGTCCGCGTCCAAAAAACACATAGGGCCCTGAAACAATTACACTAAGGTTTTTTCACACTTTGAGGCAGTAAGAATATTGGTAGTTGTTCAGGCTTGTATATCATCGAAGTTCATGACGGCGACGTCTCGTTCCCGTGGCCATGGCCTTCAATGCCCAGACCCCGAACTCCCCGAACCCTCCCCGTTGTGTGCTTTGGTGTCGGGTTCAAGGGTAGAATTAAATCAAATTATTATAAATAACGACAAGCCCAGCTAAGAATCCGTCCGGCATGTTGGCTCCAGATCCCAAACAACAAACCCGAAAGAGCCCAAGAAAGCCCAAGCAACGCAGGCCTGACGCCACGCAGCTCCCGCGGGAGACCCGGGCTGCCGGAACAGACGTCGCCCCAGGCGAGTACCTGGGATGAGTGTGGGGTTGAAGTTTCGGGCTCGGGTTTGAGACTTTCTTCACGGGCTCTGTATGGGATCTAGAGTTTGTGGTTGTTTTTTGTACAATGGCTAGCAATGTTTACGATGTTTGAGTTTTGGGTGATCTAAGGGTTGGGTAGGAGCTTGGGGTTTAAGGTGGCTGATGAACCTCTCAATGCCCTGTCATGACTTTATGTGCATCCGAACACTTTTTGCTGGGACTGTGCTGCTCAACATGGCAGGAACACGGCACAACACCAGAGGAATGGGGTGTGGGTGGGCGGGATCTTCAACAGGTGAAATCTGGCAGCAGCTTCCCACCCTGTAAACCCCAAAACCCAAAAACCCTCAACCACTAATGCAGGAACCTGATTAAGAAACCTTGGGCCTTTATTGGGGTTCCTTATATGAATCCGACTATTTGGGGATTCGAAGCCCAGGGCAGGGTTTCTTAATCAGGTTCCTACATTATCCTGAACCTTAAGCCCTCAAAACCCTAAACCCTAAACCCCTAAACCCCCTAAGCCTTGGTTGTTGCTGCTTAGCCACAGAGCCGTCTCCCCGGACGAGGAAGAAGCCCGGGCACCTGAACCGGGCTCACCACAAGTGTATTATTATCAGGGTTATAGTACCGCCAAAAGGGGTTTTGATAGGGTTGAGCACGATGGCTCACAGGACTCTCGGTTTCGAGTATTCGGCGAGTCGCAGAGGAAGTTGTGCCGGGGTTTTGTGTGAGTGAAAGTTGAAATCCTGTCTGCCCACCTGCGGCAGGAGACAATCCGCGCCTGCTGCGCTGTCGCTGTGATCCTGGCAAGGCTAGTGCATTGATAAACTTGGGCGGTGAGGGTTTGGTCATCTAAGGCATACCTTACCCTACAGACTCTAGCTACAACTGCAGCTCTTGACTCAAAACCCCCTTCAGGGCACCGTCAGAGACCCCGAAAAACCCTAAACTCCTAAATCCTTGAAGAACCCGTAAACTTCAGAAACTTAACCTTTCAACCCTAAACCAGTATGGACCCCCCAAAACGCCAAACTCCTAAACCTTGAGCCTGAACTCTTCGAAGAACCTTTAAACCCTACTTGGAGGTTCATGGGTAGTTATAAGTAGGGTTATGATTAAGGGAACTGTACTTATAACCCATATTAGGGGACTTATAACACCACTTATAACTACCCCTCAACCCTAAACCCTGTACCGCCTATACCCTTATAGTCTTGAAGAATCCCTATAGATCCCTTTAAAAGGACCCTTAAAAGGAACCCCTTGAAAAACCCTTAAACCCTAAACCCTTGACCGCTCCTGTCTCCTTCGAGGAGACCCACCTCACCCACGCACTTCTCTGGCCCCAGTAGTTCCTTGGTGTTGGGGGGGGTTAAGGATTAGGAGTTCAGGGGTTTAGGGTTTGGGGCTTAGGGTTTAGAGTTTAGGGTTTGGGGTTTAAGGTTTTGGGTTTGGGGTTTAGGGGTTAGGGGTTTGGGGTTTAGGGGTTTTGGGCTTGGAGTTTAGGGTTTGGGGCTTGGGGCGGTTATTTCCAGGCTCCACAGTTCAACGATAATGAAGGTGCGCTTTTTTCCTAGTCTTCGGCTTGAATAAGGAGAGCGCATATTAAAAGTGCGAAAGGGCACTACTGAGGAAGCTAGACATGGACTCGTTTCTCGTGCTTCACAGGGTTTGCAGGGTGATATTGGGCTCGGGTGTTGGGATGTTGGTGGCCAGAAATTGAAGACGTACAGTCCTGAGTCTGAAAAAGGAAGGCCTTATAGAACCCTTTACAGAAACGTTTAAGGAGCCCTCACAGAAACCCAAGGAGCCCTGAAGTAAATCCTAAACCGAAAAGAAACAACCGACATTTACATCTTAGTAGATAGTCTACTTTAGGGCTTATAGATGTAGGACCCTGACCGTGAACACCAAAACACAAAACTCAAGCACCTGCTTCAAAACATACACCCCATAAACCTCCTTTTCGGTTTGGGCATCAGGAACCAACTTAGAGGCCATAACAAACAGAGCAAAGTTCACCAAAATAGTATTGGAAATTAGTAATTAAGGTCTCTCTGGCATATTGCAAATGCTGCCCAGGGCACCCCCTCGCTGCTGACGAGGCTGGCGATGCCGGTGCGAAGCGTTTTCTGTGCCGCCTGGCGCAGGTCCTGTTTTCACCGGGTTTTAGGGTTCACACGCCTACACACCCATAAAAACTTACCGCATTCAAGTTCCTGATTCCCTTGGACAGTCATAAAAAATCGACAACCAAGCCTTATAAGACATATGACAGAGTCTGACAGAGAACCCCACGCAGAAAAGACCTTGAAATAGTGAAGGTCAATTCTGAAGTATTCGTTGAAAGGACGCACCGTATATCAAACCACGTATTCTGTGTGATTAACTCTTCTTTTCCGAAGACCCCAAAACATCAAGCACTAGTTTTCGACCAAATTTTGATGTCTGAAGAAACGTAGAAACAACCCTAAACCCCTGAACCCCACATGAATAAAGCCTCGAACCCTTCAACCCTAAACCCTGACCCCCAAACCCTAAACCCGAAGACCCTAATACAAGGGCCGTAATAATTAGAATAGGGTTTCGGGGCCCATTATACTATAACTCTAACAAGGAACCCCCACAATAGTATAGGTAACTATTGAGGCCCCTACATTAAACCCCAAGAGGGTCCTGAACCGTGGCAGACGGAGGCGCCCGGAGCCGAACGCTGCGACCGCTCAGCAGGGACACGTGGATGGACATAGCCATGGCTCAAGGGAGAAAAGGCGTTCAGGGTTTATATCCGTCTTCTTTTTGTTTTTTGTTTGATTTAGGGTTTAGGGTTTAGGGATTAGGGTTTAGGGTTTAGGGCGAAGAGATGTTCAGGGTTTATATCGGTCTGTCTTCAAGGATTTGGGGTTCAAGGATTAGGGTTTAGGGCTTAGGGCGAAAATGTGTTCAGGGTTTAGGCGGTTCAGGTCATATTTTGAGAGGTTCAGGGTTTAGGGTGGCTTTTTTGTTTAGGGTTTAGCGTTCAGGAATTGGGGTTTAAGGTTTGGGGTTTCTTAAGGTTTAAGGTTCAGCAGTTTAGTGTTCAAGGTTTATGGGTCAAGGGTTTAGAGTTTAAGGATTTAGGGGTTCAATTAGGCGTTTGAGGATTACTAGGTTTAGAACGTTTAGGGGGTAGAGGGTGTAAGCTTTCTGGTCACTCAAGAATCCCTGGAAAAGAAACTCCAGACAAGAACCCGGAGCCTTGACAAAAACCTCCGTCCGGAACCCAAAAGCGCCGAATTCCCGAACCCTGGAATGACAGTTCTCCTGCATCGCTGCACCCAGCTCTTCGTCAGCATCTGCCTGTTTGGCGAGATAAGAACAGCTTTTCAGGCCTTCACCTGGATATCTGATCTCCCCAGATTTCCGGGAGGAGCTAGAAAGTAGATCCCTTAGTTTGGGGCCCTATACTACTAAGGATACTTTACAGGAGCCCACATTAAGGGATCTACTTTTTGGATCCTCCCGGAGTCTGGGTCAAGGGCCTGTTTGAAGGTATTCATCTCGCGGAACCCTGCAATGTCGGAATGGGGTTCAGGGTTCAGCTGAACCCCATCTAGCCAACCTGCTTACTATATCAAAAAACAGGGTTGGTAATGAGACACCACAAGAAAGTAGTGTTAGGTCCTGAATAGGTTTTGTAGGGTTCAGGTAGGGAGCAGTTTTTCCCCGTGAGTGAAGTACCAGCATCCAGTGTAACAGAAAGCCCCCATGGATATCAAGCGGCCTAATCCTTACATACGGTTGGATGTAGAGTCCTGCCCAGCGAAAATACACTCGAAACCAAAACTTTGAACCCCAAAAGCCCCAACAAGGACAACTACTCTAAACAGCAACAAGTCCAAACCTCGAACCCCACAACAACATAGACCCCTCATGACGAAGCAACTCAAAACAAAAACAAACCCTGCACCCCAAACCATAAAGGCTCTCAGGGATTCTCGGGCATGAGGCGAAAGTTTCACAAACCACCGCGCCTGCGTCCCTTCCTCCTTTAGCAAGCCTTGGCTCGTACGCAGCCGGTGTTCGACCGTGTGCCTGGAAAGGAAGATTGAAGCATTCCCGAGCCCTTTTAGGGTTCATTTCGTCCTAATGGCTTAAAGGACCCTAAAAGGGTTCTGCAACGGCTTCCTTGCTTAGGGTTTGCGGTTTAGGGTTAAGGGAGGTCTTCCTGCTCAGAACAAAAGCCTTTTCTCGTTAGAACAAGCTTTCCCAAAGAGCTCGAAAGCTGGGTTCTTTCCCAGAGGGTCCAAGTACCCAAATAGTAGGGCTTTAGATCCCAAAATCCATACCCTGAATGGGTTTTGAACCTTGAAACCCTACTATTTGGGTACTTGGACCCTTAGGGTTTTAAAGGGTGCTCACTGGGTTCCACAAGACTGAGTTTGGTTGAAGGGTCCGCAGGAGAGTTCCTTTCAAAAGGCTTCCGTAAGGATTTGGGGGTTTAGGCTTCTGCTATTGGGGATTTGAATCGGATTGAAAAAATTTGCTGCGGGCGTTATGGGGTTGAGCAGGGCATTGCATTGGTGGAAACGGGTCTTACCCACTCCTAGTCCTGAACCCAAAACCCTAAACCCTAAACCCTAAACCCTAAACCCTAACCCTGAAGAAGCGCCTTCTAGGTGCACAAGACATCCACATAGCACGGCTCCAGATGTTGTCTTGGTAGCATCTGCCACTGTGTTAGATTCAATCCTGTGCCGAAGACCGGTTCTGTGCTTGTGTGACCTGATTGTCTTGGCGTCCACTGTACACGCATGTCATCCGCAGTCGCCCTCAGACTTTTGTTCGGCCACTCCTGCAGTCCTGCATGCCCAGCATCGCATATCTTACACCAGGACCCCCCCGTGGCCTTTAATGGAGCCCCTATGGCTCTCAGTAGTGGGTATTTGAGGTATATTAGAGGGTAGTTGGGGGGTCTAGGCAATACCCTTCTCTGTTGCAGCTTCCGTGCATTCTTGCCAACACTTTCCAGTCCATCGCCTGCGTCACCCAAGGCCTACCTGAACCCCCGTATCCGAGATGCAACCTCCACCTTTAACCCCGAAGAACCTACATTTTTAAAGGCCTTATATAAAGAAACCGTAATAAGGAACCCTAAAAAGGTAGGTTCTTCAGGGTTAAGGGATGTATGACACCATGGCAGGGTCACTCTGCCGACATGGGGCATAGAGGCAGATTCGGAAGTACGCAACAAAAGCTGTGTTCCAAGGGTCAAAGGAGGGACCCTTAATAAGGACCCCTGGGTACATACCCTTAATATAGCTATTACATACCCATTATATAGCCCATTATAGGGCAGGGGTCCCCATTAAGGGTCCCTCCTTTCCCCTTTGATTTGTCAAGCTCCGACACCAGGCCGCTGTGCAACATATGATGCAACTGCAAAACCTGCTGCACAGTCCGAGTTTGGGTTTAGGGTCCAACACTGCTTAACACAGAAAGACACCCCGCTGGCAGAAAAATTGACATAAAGCAGCGACCATAGCCCCAAATGGCAAGGGGCTGGAAACTTCGACCGTGAAAGCCCGAAAGCAGGCATCTAAAACCCTCGACTCGGGCAGCACTGAAGCCTCTAGTTGTCCCCGCAGCCCCTGAATACGGGTACTCTTTGTCGACTACTCGGCTTCCACAAGTACACTATTTTGCGACCTAAACACTAAATACAGGACAAGACCCGGAAGCGCTTAGGGTTTAGGGGTTTAGGGACTGATACCAGTCTCTTGTCATTCGCGCCCCTGACAGTCCTAACACGTGGACACTTGACCTATAATTCTAAACCCTCTACCTTCGCTATTGAGCATGCGAACATCAAAGCCTGTGTTGGAACCAGCGCTCATGGAAGGCATCCTCCGCGGGATGTTGAGGTGTGGGGGTTTAGGGTTTAGGGTTTGCGAGCTTCGCATTTTGGGCTTGGGCTTTCGCGAATCAGGGGTTGGAGCGGAGAACTGTAGCTTAAGTCAAGTTGTGGGTGCCCTAATCCCCTAGACCCCCAAACCCGAAACTCCCACATAAATCAATCAATCCTACGGTCTGGGCATTGACTTTGGAGCCGCCCCTTTCAGATGTTTCTTCCTGAGAGATTTGCATCTGTAAGGTTTTGCAAACAGCCACGCTTGCTCCCTAACACTGAAGGCTCCAAAAGAAAATCACAGTATTCTGTAAGGACTGCTCTCTATGGCGTTATAGGGTGCTGGGCGGGGCTTGTAGTTCTTGAATGTAGAATCTGAGGGCCTGAATAATTCGAGAAGGGTTCCCTTAACGGGCTCCTCCAAGGCTTCTAAATCGGCTCGAGGCTTTCGGGTGGAAAGGAAACGCCAATCCCGGGGCGGCTGGTTGTAGGACCCCTACCCTATAATGGGATATATAATGGCTATATAATAGCTATATTAAGGGTATATACCTAGGGGTCCTTATTAAGGGCTCTTACCAATAGCGGTTGCCCGCGCCATCTGTAGCGCCGAAACCACCAGCCTCTTCTACCTGCGCAGCAGCAATCCACTCTGCTGCGAACCCTCTATATACCGACTCGAGCTGCACCAGAAGGTCAGCTCTCACGCTAGCACATGCTCTCAGCGCAGTGACTGCTTCTCGGCTAAAGCCTTCAAGACCACCACCAAGATAGCCGGCCAGTTTCACTCAATCTGTTGGAGAGGCCGCAATCTGCGCTTTGGCTGGATCCAAGAACTGTGAACATGCTGGCACAATCCCAAGTTCATGTTCTATGCCCATGATCTCGATTGGTGGCGCAGCTGCCACCATCTGAGCGCGTGTCATAGTTGTTCCCAACTTTTCATCTCCACGCCCTCTCGTCCATCCTCCTCCTCCTCCGGGCGAGCCTAACTTCCTCCGCCTCCGCCTTCCGTCGGCGGATCGATTCCCAACCAATGAGCTACTGGTGCCATCGCCGTGGCAGTCGGTCCTATAGGCGCATGGATGCCGCATTGGTAGGATCCGACCTGTCACGAGTAAGCCGGTCGTCAGTCTGGAGTCGTCCATGTCGAACGGTACTGATAGTTCTCCAGTCTTTTGACTAGTTCAAGGAAGTTTGTTGTGATCGGTGACGTTATCCCAGAGCGAACTCCGCACCACATGCCAATCCCTGCCTTAAGCCTTTTAGGGTTTTTTAAGCTTTATGGTTTAGGGCTTAGGGTCTAGGGTTTAGGGTTTAGGGCTTTAGGGTTTAAGCTGCCCCGTAATGCACTGGCCTTGTGAACCGTTGGCTGTTTGCTTGTTTTAATTAATGTGTTTACGGCATGGATCATGCTTAAAATTTAAGGCTTCTGATACCTGTCGAACCAAACGAGCTACAAGAATTGAAAATTATCAGGAATGAATACTTGAATAACCCCAGAAAGGTGGTAGTTTCGTGTTTATAAGGACCTGGATAATCCGTCAAAGCGGGAACCCCATATAGAAGCCAATGTCCGTCCTTCAAAAGCCATAAGAAGGCGCCTTTGTCTCAAGCCCTAAACCCTAACCCTAAGCCCTATAAGCCCTAAACCCGAAGCCCTAAACCCTACACCCTAAACCCTGACCCAGAAAGGGCCCTGCAAACCTGCCAGGGGCCCCCATACCCAAACTTACATCGGTTTAGGGTTTAGGGTTTCGGGTATTTAAGGCTTAGGGTTTAAGGTTTAGGGTTTAGGGGTTAAGGTTTAGGGTTTAGGGTCTAGGTTTCGGGTATTTAGGGCTTAGGGTTTAGGGTTTAGGGTTTA